AAAGGCGTGATGAAGCCTACTTTCTGTGTAATTAATATGCAGTAATAAAATTAATTTTTAAAAATAATCATTTGCTCCAGGTTGCACAGCAGGAGCATTGGGGATCTAGTACTTGAACTCGGCAGAATTAAATGCAGAACAGTATTTGCTTCTGCTCCTGTTTCCTAGAACCCAGAACAAGAAAGGGGATGTTCAGTCAGAGTTCTGAGAGGTGTATGCTTCCAGCAGACTGGGTCCACCCAATCTAAGCAACCAAAGGCAGAGGTGCAGAGAAGCACTGTATGTACTGGATGGTTCGTCCCAAACTGGACCTTCTGATGAGATGGCTTAATGATTTAACAGCACAAGCTATTCACTGGCATGAGGCAGGTGGCTTTCTGGCACTAGGATTTCCAGGAAGTTATTATGTGGCCTCTCTCTGTGCCTGGAATCCTTTATGTGGACCATGGATGTGGCATAGGGCCCCACTACCATAACATGGTATTGAAAGGGTTAAAGTAATAACAGGCAACAAGTTCTTCACAGAGCATACTAAGTGCTCAATAATTAGTTCCTTTGCCAACCATCAGCTCCCCACCAACCTATTCCAGCTCTCAGCTTGTTACCTGCCTCCCCCTCGCCCGTGTCCTTCACTAATTCATTAGCCAACAAACGTTTACAGACACCTAGCCTGGCCAGCTGTGGAAACAGCAATGTGTAAGAGAGTCCACTCTCATGAAGCTCACATTCTTCTATTTGTGAGGGGAAAGGAAGACAATAACCAAAGAGGAGGAGGTGGAGTCACGTGTTGTAAGTTGCAGAAAAGATATGGCCGGCAATCACTGGCTACAGGGAGCCCGTCAAATGATAGGGAAGGGTCTTCCAAAGAATTAATACCGAGTCAGAGTTGAGGAGGGGGAAAGCAGACAGGGGTCAGAGGGAGCCCTGCTTCCAAAGAGAAGCATGCGGTCCAACGTAGGACAGGCTCAACTACAGCACCATCTCGGCAGTGTAACCACTGGATTATACAACCTTGCAACTAGACCAAACCTTTGAGGGAAAGGATAGCTCACTCCCTCTCTCGCTCTCGGGAGCACTCCCTTGACCTCTCCCTCTCTCTCCAAGCCATCATAATTATTATGTATACTAACCTACTCAACATACTTCTAAACACTGGGTTTACGATGAAACACTGAGTTTTCTACCTGTGCAGAACTTAGCACTGGGAACACACAGTCAGCGTTCAGAAAATATCTGATGAAAGAATACTATTTGCTTGGTTTTATGTTACAGTGTAGTAACTGGATCTGTCAAGTCCCAGGATTTCTCCAGCCCCATTCATCCTTCCTCATGGGCCCAAAGGTTCGGCATTCTCCTACACTCCTGACGGCGCCACTGGAATGCTAACCCCATGACCACAACTTTGGCAAATGAACTTCTGTTATGAATTTCCAAATCAGCATAATACTCTTATTTAAATGTATATACGTCAGGCAAAACTCTTCCAGAAACTGAAAGAATATGCCACACCCCTGGGAGGATTCCAGATTGAGTAGTAGAGTTGAAAGACAAACTATCCAAGGTCATCTGTCTTTTCTTCTCACAACAGACATAATTTCAGTGACTTTCTAGGCTTGGTGCCCGCAGGACCCAGCCAGGGAACAAGGATGACAAAGCTCTGGCTACCACGGGCTTGTGCACTTAATCATTTTCCCATAAAAGCAGTGCTTCGCTTACAGTGAACAAAGCCAATCTGGCACAGGAGCTATCACTCACAGGCCTTCCACAGGCAGACAGTCAAAAGTATAGCCGAATCTTACCATATAGCCTCAGATGCTTTGAGGCTAACCCGAGTTCTGACTGGTGACCTGGCTGCTTTCATATTGTACAAACTCAACAGACAGTTCACTGGCTGTTCAATACGGTCGGTCACCTTGATGGGATCTAGACCAGTCTCTGGGCATACTTGGAAAGCCAGATTAAGTTGACTGAGGTGGCAACACCCCTCTATAAACAGCAGGTGCCACCACTTCCTGGGCTGGGTTCCCAAAGGGCAGAAAAGCCAGCAGAGCACTCACCTCCTTCCGCTCCCTGACTGTGAGTACAATGCGACCTGCTGCCCCAAGCTCCTGTGGTCTCCCGCCAGGAGAGACTACAAACTCAAACCAGAGCCAGAGTGAAGCCTTCCTTCCTCCAGCTGTTGGGGGTATGTTGCTATAGCAATGTGAAGAGGAACTACACACTTTGCAATGTGCACCGTTTTTGTTTTTTCAATTAAAAAAATTAAACACAGACCAAGCCCGGTAGCATTCACCTTTAATCCCAGTACTTGGGAGTCAGAGGCAAGCGTACCTCTCTGTGTGTTGTAAGGCAGTCTGGCCAATGCAGGCCAGCCAGAGTTACATTGTGAGACCCAGTCTCGAAAAAGAAAAGAATTAAACCTAAATAAAACTACCCTATTGAATAGGTTTTCTGGGCTTTGTGTACCTGCCTGGGAATTTATTTATTTCCCATTGTGAGGCCCTGTTTGATTTTGTTATGGCTTCATCAGTGCTTGAAATCATCTTTCTTATTATAGCACCTATAATCTTTCCCTTCCCTGCGCCCAGTAAAAAGTACCACGTGGTTAAGGGCTCTGCCTGCTTTACTCTCACCCCAAGTCTCAGGGCCTGGAACAGTTCACTCTGATGGCAGAAATGACCAAAGACAGCCCTACAAAGTTGGTTGCTGTGACAGCAACCCGAAGTCAAAACATGGAAACCAAAGGCAGAAGTTTAAAATACAAAAGGAACTTCAAGGACATTAAGCATCAAAAATATGTGTCAAATGTTAGCATTAAACCAGGGAGGATATTTTTGTGAAACAAGTTAGAGTTGCTTCTAAAAGCAGAAAGTGGGTCTTTTATCTTGGCCCATCCACCTGTTTTATCACAAGGCCTGGTACAAAGTAGGTCTTGGCTGAGAGCACCAACAGATTCCTGAGACACTTTGTGAAGATTCCTAAGTTTGGTAGAAAAGAATGAAGCACGATTCTCAGTCCAGACTTTTCTACCCAGGACCGCTCATCCAGAATCTCCAAGGTGGAGAACTGGTAACATCAAAAAAAAAAAAAAAAAAAGCAATGGGGCTGGAGGAGCTGGCTCAGCAGTTAAAAGCATTTATCACTCTCAGGATCCAGGTTCAGTCCTAGCTGATGGCAGAGTTCACAACCGGCAGTTACTCTAGTTCCAGGAGATAAAGGACACCCTCTTCTGACCTTCTTGGGCACCACACAGACATGCTTGGTATACATACATACAGGCAGGCAAAACACACAAACTTTTTTTTAATCTTTTTTTTTTTTTTTTTTAATTGTGGCACATACCTTCAATCTCAGCCCTCAGAAGGCAAGGGCCGGTAAATAATCTGAGTTCAAGGTCGCATGGTCTCCATAGCATGTTCCAGGGCTACACAGTGAGACCCAAACAGCAAAAATGAATAGTGTGTGTGCATGCGCATGCGAGTGCCAGAGTCTCTTCAGCAGAATCTCACCATTTCCCCTAGCCTAGCTGGTCAGCAAGCTCTTGGAACCCACATGTCTCTTCCTTGCATTGCTGGGTCACAAGCTCACACTGCCTTGCCTGGGGTTCTATATGGGTGCCGGGGATTCAAACTCTCAAGCTTGGGGAGCGAGTGGTCTTACCACCTGGGCCATCCCCAGGACTACTGTCATTTGCTAAGCCTGGTGTTCCCAGAATAGTAAGTCATGTACATGTCCGTAAACCAACGAACACTACCCAACATAGGGAATGAGTCTCTCCCAAGTATTCCAAGGTTTCCTCTACTCGCATAGGGAAGACGAGGACAATCTTCAGCTAAACATTCTGTAGCGGGTTTCTCTGAACAACCATTTCTCAGTCTTCACTTTTCACTGCCCTGGGCTTGATGTTTCTCATCAATTCAGGTCTACTGTAACAGCACCACAGTTCCTGTTTTTATAACACTTCAATAATGAACAGGGCTTAGATCACCTGGAGATATCTCCTTACCCTATTACAGCAGGTATGAGTGATTTTAATTAGACAAACTGCCGCCCCTCTCCTTTGCCCACCATACTGTCAAGAGCCTATTAAGGGATATTACAGCAATAAGTATTAGCACCTCTTAAATTCCCATTAACAATAACAGAGAAATGAAATGTCAGGTAATGAAAAGGAAGGGGAAAAAAAAGGAACCTTCATAATTAACCAAAGCTTAGAGTAACTCAAAAACATCATTAGTAAGTTGTTCTTTCAGTTTTCTTGGTGCCTGTGCAAGTCCTGGTTAAAATGTGACAATTTGCCTCTCGTTAAACTAGAAGGTTTTCCTTTCTTTTTCTTTCTTTCTTTTTTTCTTTTCTTTTCTCTTTTCTTTCTTTCTTTCTTTCTGGGGGAGGGGATAATCTAGAGAAAGCGGGAAGCACGACTTCTGAGAATCTTGCCCTCTGAAGACAGTAGGTAAAGTCAACAGGGGAGCAACGTGAAGGAGGTGTTCAAGGTCCAACACTAACAACTCGGTCTCCATGAGGCAGGGGCACGGTGGGCAGTGCCTGGGCAGTTCTGACCCAGGGCAGCCCGGGAAACCAACGCCCGTTTTCCTCCGGGGCCCTTGCCTGTCCCCACCGACAAGCACCGGCTGCACAGCCACAGCCCGTAACCACGACTCCGACCAGCGGAGCACGTGGCCCGCGTGGCGAGCTCCGGCTGGCAGACGCCTCCGCGGCGGAGCCAGTAAGCGGCTGGGAAGCCTCCGGGTCCCGACAGCGCGGGGAACTTTCGGAACTCGCAGCCTGCGCGGGGCTCCGGGGCGCGGGGGCGCAGAGGGGGCCGTGGGAACGACCCGGGCCGCGGGGTGTGCACTCTGACCCCCGCGATCCCCCGCGGGAGGCGGCCGGGTCCAGCCGCGCCGCGGGGGAGCGCGGGGTCGCCGGGGGTCGCGTGGGGTCGCACGGGGGCGAGGAGGCCGCGGAGCACGGGTGGCTCGCGTCGTCCCGGCCGCGCTCACCTGGGACCTGACCGCCAGGAGCGGCGGCCGCAGCGCTCGCCCTCGCAGAAGCTTCCCGACCTGCGCCGCGATGGCCACCGGGGACGCCATCTTAACCAGGAACCTTCAAGCGAGGCGGAGAAGGGGGAGGGAGGGGGCGGGGGAGGGAGTCGGGCCCGGCCGCGGCCACTAGACGGGCAGGCCGAGGAGGGGCGGGGAGGAGGGCGGGGAGAGGGGCGGGGAGGGGTGGAGGAATGGGGGAGCTGAAGGGAGAAGGTCAAGGGGTATTTGGGAAAAGGAAAGGGAGGGGAGAGGAGCCCGCCCACCCGCTCTACCCCTACCCCCCCCATAATCATCACCCCACCCGACGCCTACCCTGTGCAAAAACAGATCTCAGTCCCCAGGGACACTGGCTTAAACTGGCCCTGGGAATGACAGGTTAGAGACTATTCAACACTGCAGTGAGGCCTGCTAGTCCTGATCCCTGGAACCTTTACTACTGTCAAAGGACACCACTTGGAGAAAGTAATGTTCCTGGGAAGGAATTAGGACCAATGTATTGGGGGGTGCGGGGGATGGTGGTTAGTTACTGTTGTTGTTTTGGGTGGTTGTGTTTGGTTGTTCTTTTGGGTTTGGAGATAGGGTTTCTTGTACCTTCCATTCACCTGGAACTTCTGATCCTGCCTCTACTTTCCAAATACTGTGATTGTGGACAGCATTTGTGGAGGGTTTTAGGCCTGCCTTAATGACATGCGTTTTCTTGTTCCTTAGCCTTAAATTAATAAAAAGGCTATTGCTGGATTTTCTACCCAGGTATGAGAAAAGTGTTCACAGGCTGCAATGCACTTAGATAAAAAATAAAAATCACAATAACAGCCACTATGTGCCAAACATTAAACAACTGTGAACCCAGGGACTGTCTCTGACATGAACTCAGTGGCTAGCTCTTTGACCTCCTTCCCTTCCCCACTCCCCCCCACCCTCAGGAGGAGCAGCCTTGCTAGGCCACAGAGGAGGACACTGCAGCCAGTCCTGATGACACCTGATAAGGTAGGGTCAGATGGAAGGGGAGGAGGACCTCCCCTATCAGTGGACTTAGACAGGGGCAGGTAGGAATGAGGGAGGGAGGAGATTGAGAGGGAATGAGGGAAGGGCCTACAGCTGGGATACAAAGTAAATTAATTAATATAAAAGAAATTTTAAAAAAAGAAACCACAAAAAAAGAAAAAAAACAAAAACAACTAGAACTGTTTTAAGCTTCATGGCAACCTCTTTTTTTTTCCATTAAAACTAAATATTTATTTTCTCTCTGTCTATTACATAAGTTCATAGTGAATTCAGAATGACAAAGATTAACAAGGCCTAAAGGTTAACAGGGCTCAATAAGTTGCAAGAATTTATATCTTTTCAATTAGGACTGACTTGAATACATATTTTTCAGATATTTCTTTTTTTTAATTTATTTATTTTTATTAGTTACAGTTTATTCACTTTGTATCCCCCCATAAGGCCCTCCCTCCTCCCTTCCGAGTCCCATCCACCCTCCCCCTTCTTCATGCATGGCTCTCCCCAAGTCCACTGATAGGGGAGGTCCTCCTCTCCTTCCTTCTGAACTTAGTCTATCAGATCACATCAGGAATGGCTGCATTGTCATCTTCTGTGGCATGGTAAGGCTGCTCTCCCCTCAGGGGGAGGTGATCTAAGAGCAGGCCAATCAGATTATGTCAGAGGCAGTCCCTCTTCCCATTACTATGTAAACAACTTGGACACTGAACTGCCATGGGCAGGGGTTCCAGGTTATCTCCATGCATGGTACTTGGCTGGAGTATGATTCGCTGGGAAGACCCCTGTGTTCAAATTCTCTGGTTCTGTTGATCTCCTTGTGGAGTTCCTGTCCTCTCCAGATCTTACTATTTCCCACTTCTTACATAAGATTCCCTGCAATTTGCCCAACAGTTGGCCATTAGTCTCAGCATCTGTTTTGATAGTCTGCAGGGTAGAGCCTTTCAGAGGCCCTCTGTGGCAGGTTCCTAGGTTGTTTCCTCTTTTCTTCTTCTGATGTCCATCCTCTTTGCCTTTCAGGATGGGGATTGAGCATTTTAGTAAGGGTCCTCTGTCTTGATTAGTTTCTTTAGATGTACAGGTTTTAGTAGGTTTATCCTATGTTATATGTCTATATGAGTGGGTATATACCATGTGTATCTTTCTGCTTCTGGGACAGCTCACTCAGGATGATCCTTTCCAGGTCCCACCATTTGCTTGCAAATTTCATGATTTCTTTATTTTTCATTGCAGAGTAAATACTCCATTGTGTAGATGTACCACAATTTATCCATCCATTCTTCAGTTGAGTGGCATCTGGGCTGTTTCCAGCTTCTGGCTATTACAAATAAAGCTGCTACAAACATGATTGGGCAAATGTCCTTATTGTGTACTTGAGTCCCTTTTGGATATATGCCTAGGAGTGGTATAGCTGGATCTTGAGGAAGTGCTATTCCTAGTTGTCTGAGAAAGTGCCAGATTGATTTCCAGAGTGGTTGTACCAGTTTACATTCCAACCAGCAGTGGAGGAGGGTTTCCCTTTCTCCACAACCTCTCCAGCATGTGTTGTCACTTGAGTTTTTCATCTTGACCATTCTGATGGGTATATGGTGAAATCTCAGGGTCGTTTTGATTTGCTTTTCCCTAATGGCTAATGACGTTGAGCATTTCTTTAAGTGTTTCTCTGCCATTCGATATTCCTCTACAGAGAGTTCTCTGTTTAGCTCTGTTCACCATTTTTTAATTGGATTACTTGGTTTCCTGCTTTTCAGTTTTTTTAGTTCTCTATATATACTGGATATTAGCCCTCTGTCAGATAAAGAGTTGGTGAAGATTCTTTCCCAATCTGTAGGCAGTCGTTTTGTTTTGATGATGGTGTCTTTTGCTTTACAGAAGCTTTTCAGTTTCATGAGGTCCCATTTATTGATTGTTGCTCTTAGAGCCTGTGCTGTTGGTGTTCTGTTCAGGAAGTTGTCTCCTGTGCCAATGAGTTCAAGGGTATTCCCCACTTTTTTTTCTAACTGGTTTAATGTGTCTGGTTTTATGTTGAGCTCTTTGATCCATGTGGACTTCACTTTTGTACAGGGTGATAAGTATAGATCCATTTTCATTTTTCTACATGTAGACATTCAGTTAGACCAGCACCATTTGTCGAAGATGTTATCTTTGCTCCATTGTATGGTTTTGGCATCTTTGTTAAAAATCAGGTGTCCGTTAGTGTGTGGGTTTATTTCTGGTTCCATTGATCCACCATTCTGTTTCTATGCCAGTACCATACAGTTTTTATTACTGTTGCTCTATAGTACAGCTTAAGATCAGAGATGGAGATACCTCCAGAAGATCTTTTATTGTAGAGGATTGTTTTAGCAATTCTGGGTTTCTTGTTATTCCATATGAAGTTGAGAATTTTTCTTTCCAGGTCTGTAAAAAATTGTGTTGGTAATTTGATGTGAATTGCATTGAAGCTGTAGATTGCTTTTGGTAAAATGGCCATTTTTACTATGTTAATCCTGCCAAGCCGTGAGCATGGAAGATCTTTCCATTTTCTCATATCTTCTTCTAATTCTTTCTTCAGAGACTTGAAATTTTTTTCATGCAAGTCTTTGACTTGCTTGGTTAGGGTTACACCAAGGTACTTTATGTCATTTGTGGCTATTGTGAAGGGTGTTGTTTTCCTAATTTCTTTCTCAGCCCTTTTGTCGTTTGTATACAGGAGGGCTACTGATTTTTTTGAGTTAATTTTGTATCTGGCCACTTTGCTGAAGGTGTTTATCAGCTGTAGGAGTTCCCTGGTAGAGCTTTTGGGGTCACTCACGTAAAATATTATATCATCTGCAAAGAGTGATAATTTGACTTCTTCCTTTCCAATTTGTATTCCCTTGATCTCCTCAACTGTCTTATTGCTCTAGCAAGGACTTCCAGAACTATGTTGAAGAGATATGGAGAGAGTGGGCAGCCTTGTCTTGTCCCTGATTTCAGTGGGATTGCTTTAAGTTTCTCTCCGTTCAGTTTGATGTTGGCTATAGATTTGCTGTATATCACCTTTACAATGTTTAGATATGTGCCTTGTATCCCTGATCTCTCCAATACTTTAAACATGAATGATGTTGGATTTTGTCAAATTCTTTTTCAGCATCTAGGGAGATTATCATGTGGATTTTTTCTTTCAGTTTGTTAATATGGTGGATCACATTGATGGATTTTTATATATTGAACCACCTCTGCATGCCTGGGATGAAGCCTACTTGGTCATGGTGGATGATATGTTTGATGTGTTCTTGTATTTGGTTTGCGAGTATTTTGTTGAGTATTTTTGCATCAATGTTCATAAGGGAGATTGGCCTGAAATTCTCTTTCTTTGTTGGGTCTTTGTGAGGATTAGGTACCAAGGTGACTGTGGCTTCATAGAATGAGTTTGGTAATGTTCCTTCTGTTTCTATTTTGTGGAATAGTTTGAAGAGAACTGGAGTTAGCTCTTCTTCGAAGGTCTAGTAGAATTCTGCGCTGAAACCATCTGGGCTTTTTTTGGATGGGAGACTTTGGATGACCGCTTCTATTTCCTTGGGGGATATGGGACTATTTAATTGATTTACCTGGTCCTGATTCAGCTTTGGTAAGTCGAATCAATCAAGAAAATTGTCTATTTTATTTAGATTTTCAAATTTTGTGGCATATAGACTTTTGAAGTAAGTCCTAATGATTGTTTGGATTTCCTCAGTGTCTGTAGTTATGTCCCCCTTTTCATTTCTGATTTTGTTGATTTGGATGGTGTCTCTCTGCCTTTTAGTTAGCTTGGCTAAGGGTTTGTCTATCTTGTTGATTTTCTCAAAGAACCAGCTCTTGGTTTCATTGATTCTTTGAATTGTTTTATTTGTTTCTAATTGATTGATTTCAGCCCTGAGTTTGATTATTTCCAGCCATCTACTCCTCTTTGTGTCTGCTTCTTCTTTTTCTAGGGTTTTTAAGTGAGCCATTAAGCTGCTTGAATACGCTGTCTCAAATTTCTTCTTGAAGGCACTTAGTGCTATTAACTTTCCTCTTAGCACTGCCTTCATTGTATCCCACAAATTTAGGTATGTTGTGTCTTCATTTTCCTTGCGTTCT